TATTCTATTTACTCCAGCCTGTTCCCCACCCAGAATGCTTATTTTGTAGATACCGCAATTGTCTTACCATAGAAATGCTCTTGCCTCATGGCCCAGTCACATTTTGTGCCGTAGGGTAATTTTTCCATGCCCTTGTCGGAAACATTATGCAATGTTATGACTTTTTAGTCCCCATTGAAGTAACTGATAAACCCATGGGGCAGTTCCAATGCTAACAGCCAAGTTAATGTGTGTCCACCCCATGGTTCGTGATTTACCCTCTTTTCCTCTCCCATCTCCAGTAACCTTCAATGACTTTTTCTTTCTGTGAGTAAGTCTTCTATTAATTTTTAATTTTTTTAACTAAAAGGATAAAATATGTGCCCTTAACTTGGGTGAGGAGAAAGTTACACACAATTAGAGTGAGGTCAACACAAAGTGTGGCAATGGAGACCCCGGGAGGAAAATAAGAGATAAAGGCCACAAAAATAAGTAGTATTGGACACACAATCTTATGGAAACAGCACCCTTGAGAGAGTGCATTGACAGGCATGCACTCTGACAAGAGGGAAAAGGTGAAAGGAATTTTGCTCATGAATATTTATATATAGGTTTGATGGAAGGTGTCTGTACAATGTATTTGTAGAGCAAATATACCCATTAATTTAGCAGAACATATGTTGTTGTTGTGATGTATGGTAGAGTCAGAACCGACCCACAGCTGACCCTCTGGAGGGTTTTCAAAGGCAGTTACTTGCACGGGAGGAGATTGCCCATCCTTCTCCCACAGAGCAGCTGGCAGTCTCAAACCACATGACTTCAGGATTGCAGGGCAGCTTCTTGCCCCTGCGCCACCAGCTCTCGCTAGTAGGACATATAGAGGGTAAGTTACAAAATCTTCTTAGCCATAATCAAACACCTTTGGGAAATGAGCTGTAGTTCTGGTGGCTCATGATCATCATCTTGGGAGGACATCAAGTACAGTCTACATAACACGGTGCTCAGATGAAATGCTCTACTGTCCACTTTGGTAAATAGCAGTCTTAAAAGGTTGTGAATGACCACCTAATGGACACCTATTAATCTTTCCATGTCTGGAGCAAAGAAGAGTGAAGACAATTACAGACATGTGAAAGCAATCATTCCAAATAACTAGAGTCATGAAGACCCCAGCTTCCATGATCCATAGACCAGAATACCTAGCCACCCTGGAAGAGAGCATAATAGGTGATCTTAGATAGAATAGAGGGGAAATGTGGAGCAAAATTCCAAATAATTATAATAATTATTATAAAATATAAGGTTTTCTGTTTTGATGGAGACTGGTGGAATTCTCGACTATGGTCCTTGTTGTTGTTAAGTTGCAACCTTTAACAACCTCTACATTCAATTATCCACCCAAAAATGGACAAGCTGAATCCTAGAACAACCAGCTATGAGTTCAAATTGGATAGCTTGCGACTCCCACATTTATCCTGGGAACCACCATCCCTCAATCCTTAAATTGGCCCAAGAATAAAACTTAGAAAGCAAGAAAGGGTAGGAAAGAATGAGAAATGAAAGTAATAGTCACAAGGGTAGCAGTGGAACGAGCCTTGTTACATTGTGGGGATAGCAATTAATATCACAAAATGTGTATGAATTATTAAATGGAAAACTCATTTTCTCCACAAACTTTCACTCAAATGCTAAGGAAAAAGTAAAAATAAGAAAATACAAACCAAATCTCATGTACAAAAATGTTCTGTCTAACCAATGTATTATTCAAATACTTCAGTCTTTATAGGAAAAGGTTCCCACTCTGTCAAACACACACCCCACTCTTCTCATTTGGGTTGGAACTTTTTAGAGTTTTTTATATCCTCTTATGGAAAGGTCTTTTTTTTTCATTTCTGGGCCACAGCAGATGCAACTCATTTTAGATGGTCATTTGTAACTCACTCTTTAACTCTGATTCCACTATTCTTGCACCCTCTAAGTCTTTACAAATAGTGTTAACTAGCTGCCATTTTCCTATAGAATACATTTTTTTCCCAGCTTACAATTTTGACACAGAATGAGCCATTTCAGAGATATCTTCCTGGCTTTCCTCACAAGGAACCACTGTGGATTGAGGAGAGCAAGAGCTTGTCCTAGAGGATGTTAAAGTTTAATCCAGAACTGCAGTTGTTAAGATGAATGATACTGACAAAAGACGCTTTCTGTTATTGCTCTTGATTATACTGTCATAGCAAATAAACCTTAATTCGTGGAGAGATGCTCCACATTAAATAGCATAGAGTGACTGAAGCTGTGGCTTTTGGTCTTGGGAAGATGGTTTATTAGCCACCTATACACTATCTGAGAGAAGAACTCTGCACATGGCACAGGACCTGGTGGAAACATTGTTGGAGAGGAAAGTGGACCCATGGTGCTTTCTTTCAGCAGGAGGAGTGATTGACTTTAATAATTCAGTGGGATGACAAAGAAGTGAGACAGGGCAGACTGTGCACCAGGTACAGTAAAACTGGTCTGGCTGATGGGAAGCTGGGTGAGTGGGATTAGAATCAATTAGAACCAAAGTGCTTGCTTCTATATCAATATTATTTTTGTTGTTAGGTGCTTCCAAGTGGTCTCGAACGCACAATGAACAACAGACTAGACCCTGTCCTAGCCTGTGCCATTCTTATAATCTCAGACTTACCTGATCTCATTGCTGCAGTCACTGTATCAATACATCTTGTTGCCGGCCACCTTCTCTTGTGTTGACCATCCAGATTTCCAAGTAGGATGTCCCTTTCCAAGGAATACTCTCTCCTAAAAACATATTCAAAGTATGTGAGCTAGAGTGCCACCATCCATGCCTCTAAGGGGCACTCTGGCTATACTTTCTTGAAACATCTGTTTGGCATGTTTTCCCCCTATTGTTGGGTTTTGGTTTTGTTTTGTTTTAATTTTATTATATTTTGTGTGTGTACCGTCAAATCGAATCTGAGTGGTACAGGAGGAGATTGCCCCTCCTTCTCCAGCAGAGCATCTGGTGGATTCGAACGGTGCTGTTTGGGTTTTTGGTGCTCATGCAATACTCTCCTCCAACACCAAACTCAATAGCATCAATTCTTCTTCCATTATCTTCAGAGACATAGCAGGTGATTGAAAGGGCTTGAATCAAGTGCACTTTGGTCTCTAAATTGGTACCATTGCTCTTCAGGACTTTGGAGAGGTCCATGACAGCAGACTTCCCAATGTAATCCAGCTCCTGATCTCCTGGCTGCTGGTACAGAGGGTGTTGATTGTGGATCTAAGTAAGATATGGTTGACAGCTTCACTCTTTTCTCTATCTGCTGTGATATTGTGTATCGTTCCAGTGGTAGGGATGTTTGTCTTCTTGATCTTGAGATGCATTCCATATTGAAATCTGTAGTCTTTGCCCATCTGCAGCAAGTGTTTCAGGCCCTCCTAGTTTTCAGCAAGCAAGATTGTGTCATCTGCATAATTCAAGTTGTTAATGAGTTTTCCTTTTATGCCATGTTCTTCCTCACTGTGCGTCAAGTTGGATTTCTTAAGTGAAGTAATGCATTCACAGAAGGGTTTTTAGCAAAAAATGATAGCAGTATAAATATAAAACATTTATACTTAAAAACACACACAGTAAAAAAATATCATTAAAAACTCAACAAACTCACTTAAATTTAAGAGTCCTTAATCTTGCAATTGCTTAGAAGTAGGAAGAATCAGAGAGCGTAAATTCTCTTTACAATTAATCTAAAGTCAGATTCCCTTTCCTCAACACTTCAAGTGCTGTTTTATTTTACAGTTAATCAGAAGGCTCTCCTGGTATAGTTTACCTTTTTTGTCACTTTTATTTTTATGTTAAAGTAATCTTTTCTCTTTTTTTGCATATAATTTTATTTTCTATTGGTTTGCACACAAAATTTGTACACATTATGTTTCATTCATATACATTGTGTTTCATACAATTCTTTGTTCACATTGTGTTTCATACAATCACTCGTATATATTGTGTTTTACAAAATCAATCACCTTGATCTATATCTACCATTAACCCGTCTTTTCAGGTCCCCTTTGGACCTTTCCCATTCCTTCACTCTTCCTTCCACCCACCACACTCTACTATCCTAGTGATTTTCCACATCCCCATTGTCCACTCTTTTGCCCCTCTTTAATCCCTCTTTTAGACTTTTATCTTCATCTTAGTAGTTATGCTTCTATTTTTTACAATAACGGTCTTATGCAGTGTTTGTCCTTGTGAGACTGAGTTCACTCAGCATAATGCTCTCTAGCCTTTTCCACGTTATATAGTATTTTCCGAAATTATTGCTCCTGAGTGCTGCATAGTATTCCACTGTGTTAATGTACCACAATTTCTCAATTCATTCATTTGCTAATGAGAATTTGGGCTGTTTTCTTTTTCTGCTATTGTAAATAACGCTAATATATGAACATAGGTGTGCGTATCTCTCTGTTCATGCCACATTGTAATTTCCTTTGGGTGTATTCCTAGCAGTGGAATAGCTGAGTCATATGTGATTTCTATTTCTAACTTTGAGGGAAATAACGAAGTTGCCTTCAAGAGTGACTGCAAGAGTTCTACAACCCCTCCAGGAGGGCATGTGGGAAGGTTGGGACTCTTAGGCTCTGCTGGTGGGGTTGTAGAATTTTGCTATTGCTACTGATTTCAGATGGTATTTCACTGTTGTTATTGGAGGGTCCCCCCTTTTTAAAAATTTTAATATTGGTTTGCATACAAAATCTGTATACACTAATTCATTCATAAGTCCAACAGCAGAAGGGGAGAGGCCAGGAGAGCTGAGGGTGGAGAGGAGGAGAAATCATGGTTTGCAGAGTTTGGTGGGTATAGGGGTATGTGAAGGAATTAAGAAAGATCCAGAGGAATTTGAAAAGGCGGAGACATAGATCAATGGTGATGAATTTTCTAAAATACAATAAATGGGAATGATAATATGAAACACAATGTAAATGAAGGAATGTGTGACTATTCTCTTTTCTTTTTTCCCTAGTGGCCAAGTTTTATCTGCTCTTCCTCGCACCTCTAGGCAAGTTGAAGTTCTTAAAAATCTTACCACATCATATGAGGTAATTTCTCCTCAATTTATCTATATACTATGGGCTTTATTTATGCAAGCATTGTGTGTTGTGCTCCCTTGTAAGATGTCTGACTTACATTTATCTTATCTAAAGCTCTTTAATAACATTTTCCCCCTTTCCTATACTCCCACAGTCTTGAAGTGTTCTTCATTTGTGCTGCTGACTTTCAGGCAATTTCATAGCTGTATCTTGGGGTTGAATACAGACACAACGATGACAACAGGTCAATAGAACTTCACCTGCAAAGCAGTGGTTTGTAATCAATGTGTCTATTTACTAGGGACTTAGTCAAGTTACCACAAACTGAGTGACTTTAAACACAGGAGTTTATTCTCTTGCCGTTTTGGAAACTACAAGTCCAAAATCAAGGAGTCAGGAGGTTCACGCTCTCCACGGAGAGAATTCTTTCCATGTCTTCTTTTTCGCTGTCAGCACTACTGAGAATTCATTAGCAATGACATGTCATCACCCTAGTCTCTACCTCTGCGTTGTGTCTATGCCTCCATGTTTTTTCTCCTTTTCTTTTAAGAACATCCATTATATTATATTAATATATAATGACCTAAGCTAATTATGACTTCATTTTAAAAAAGTATAGCTGCAAAAAGTTTGGTGTTCGCTTTTCAGAGGACTGTAACAAACACACATGGAACCATTAGTTTCTACCATTTACAACACTTGGCAATTGTCTATGCTTTGGGGCTTACAGAGAGAATGGAAATATGAATAAATGTAATCAATTTCTCTATAATTTTCTGATGCTCACTTCTTGCCAAAAATAAAACAAAAAGCAACACTCATTACAATCTAAAATGAAGCTGATTCCTAGATGGCCCTCCAGTGGGTCATATATTCTGAGGTTTGAGAGTGGATATGAATTTAGCAGTGAAGAAGACTCTCATCAAGATAGGTTGGCACAGTGACTGTAATAATGGGCTGGGGCATATCTGAAGTGGTGAGGACAGCACAGATAGGGCAAGGTTCAGATCTGGGGCTCCCAGGACTGCTATGGTTCCAAGGCGACTTAATGGCACCTAACAACAACATTCGACTGTGTAGAAGAAGATGCTTTAGTGGTGTGGTCCATGGAGAGTTGTGCTACTCTACTAAAGACAGCTCCTGTCTGCAAGTTTGAATCAAACAGCAGCTACTCAGAAAAAAGATGGGTCATCTCCTTCTGTGCAAATTATAGCCTCTGACACCCACTGCAGGTCACATATATGAGGCAGCAAATGAGTTTTGTTTATTTTGATATTTGGTGGGGTTTCTTTGTTTTGTTGGATTTTTTTTAAAAAAAAATAAGAAGTGAGCATCAGAAAATCACAGGGAAATGGATTAAATTTATACATGTTTCTACTCTCCTTAGAATGTCTAAAGCATTGAAAATTGGCAAGTGGTGTAGAAAACTGTTGGTTCCATAAGTGTTAATTATGGTTCTCTGAGAAGCAGACACCAAGATCAGGTTAAAGGTGCATGAGATCTATTATTGATAATGAAGAACAAGGAGGGAGCTGGAGACAACACGGAGTGCTTCAACAATTGATACAGGAATGTTTCCTGTAAATGAGAACGGAGAAGGAAGAGTGTGCATGAAAACTCTCAGACTGCGAGTGAAATATCTCCGTCACAAAAGGATAAATATTGCATAGGACCACTGTTGTAAAATGAGACTGACATCAGGGTTGAGGGAAGACAGAAAAGGAGGGGAGGAATGATGTATATTGCATTGAAACAGATGAAGGAGAGAACTGTTTAAAAGGGACGTATGAATGGGTATTGTCATTACAGAAATCTACAGTGAAGGCTGCATAGTAGAGTGGACTTGGGGGGGGTAGGAATTTCATAACAATGAAAGAGTTTTTCTTTTCAAGGAGAAGAGTGAATTGGGGAGGGTGGAGAGAGAAAAATGCAACAGTGAATGACTGGAAACCCTAAGTCTCTGTAAACTTTTATTAAAATTAATTTTAAAAAAAAGAAAGGGGGAAAAAATCCCACCTCTCAGACTGCAACACAGCTTCAAAAAAGGTCAGCAGGAGTCCTTGAACTAAAGTCCTGTGAACACCAGGTGGCACATAACAACAACAATAATACCACACCTAGCTATAATGGCCTAGCTGCCCTGCAATCCTGAAAGTTTGCAGTTCGAATCCACCAGTTCCTCTGCAAAAGGGTGGGCTATCTCCTGTGCAGTTAACTGCTTCTGAAATCCCCCTGGAGGGGCAGCTATGGGTGGGTTTTGACTCAACAGTACACAGTAACAGTAGCAAGAAGGCACAGAACGGATCTGCAGTAATATCATCGTGCACAATAATTAGCTGGAAGCAGCCCTAAGTGATCAGTGACCTCAGCCTCTATTGGATCAAGGGGTTTCTCACAACCAAAGACTGTGTGTTATGTTTCCATAACCCCCCACACCATGGTATGAAGCCATATGTGATATAAACAGTAGAGTACTTGCTAATTGAAAGGCTGCCAGTTTAAGTCCATTCAGCTACAATGAGGTTAAAAAAAAAAAGACAGACCTGATAATACTGAAAAAAGTCAATCATTGACAACTCTATGGATTGCTGTTTTACTCTGGTACAAATGTCATTACAATGATGCAATAACATTAGGTTACATAATGGTGTAAAGGAAATATAAATAAAGGAAGAAACAGAGATTTTAATGTTAGTTTCTGTTCAGCCACATTCTAGATGCATGACAGGCCTCCAGGAATCTTAGTTTCTCTCTTTCTTTTTTTTTTTTAATCGTAGTTTCTTTATCTGAACAATGACATCTGCCCATTCTATACCTAGGTATGTTGATTAAACGAGAGGCGTATGAAAATGTTTTGTGAAAGTTAAGGAAAGTCAAAGTGATTGCTGTTGAGTTGAAGCCAACTGACCCTCCAGCATGTTTTCAGAGGCTATAAAGCACCTAGGAGAAGATTGTCTATCTTCCTCAGAGCAGCGAGTGCATTTGAAGTACCTGCCTTTGGGTGGACAGTTCCTTAGCAATAGGCCACCAGATCTTCCTGCTTTGAGAAAAGTGCTATAAAATAGGGGAGAAAATATAAAATATAATTGGAAGGCATTACCATAAATCCATATTACATTTTTTTAAAAGGCATTTGTATCACCAGTTGCCATTAAGTCAATTTCAATTTAAAGCAGTCCAATGTATGTCAGATTAGAAATGACTGGTTTACCAGACCTTTCTTCCAAGGCACCTCTCAGTAGATTTGAGCTTCCAATGTTCAGTTAGTAATCAAGTGATTTAAACATTTGTAATACCCAAAACCAAATAGAATACTGACATAATAATATTAAAGGCATTAAAATGATTAAAGAGATCAATAATAACCAACTTTTCATTCTAGACAAAAATTGTGTTTCTCCTTTAATATTTGATGCTCAGATGTAGTTTCATAGCTAGTTTATAAGTATATTCTTTCATCCATCATCCATTATTCATCCCTTCATTTTATCACTAAATACTGACCATTATGGTATGGTGTATTCCAGGCCATGTGTTAGATGAGAACTGTGACCAGGAAGGGTCCACTTTGTAAACGCATTCTTCAATCTCTCTCAATTGGGAGTAATGCTGACCATTGATTTTGCATAAATGCTTCTAATTGAGAAATTCTTCTTCTATTTCTATTTAGTATTCTTATCATTAAAGGGTGTTGAATTTTGTCAAATGTCTTTTCTGCAACAATCAATACAATCATATAGTTCTTTTCCTTTGTTTTATTATTATGATATGGTGGAATACACTGATTATTTTTCTAATGTTGACTTTCTATAACCAGTGTGAAACCTACTTGTTCATGGTGAATGGCTTTTTTTATATGATATGGATTCTGTTGGCTACTATTTTGTTGAGAAGTTTTACATCTATGTTCATGAGAGATACTGATTTATAATTTTCTTTTTTAGTGATGTCTTTGCCTAGTTTTAGTATCAGGGTTTTGATTATTTGATAGAATGAATTAGAGAGCATTTCATCTTTTTTTGTCTTCTGAAATTACTTGAGTAGAAGTTGTAGCAGCACTTCTCTGAAAGTTTGATATAATTCTCAGGCAAAGCAGTCAGGTTGGAAGCATTTTTTTTTTGGTTGGGAGTATTTTCATGATCTGTTCAATTTCATCTTTTGTGGTTGGTCTCTTCAAACAGTATCACTGAGTCAGAACTGACCCATAGCTGACTTTGCAGTGGGTTTTCAGAGGCAGTTAATCACACAGTAGGAGATGCCCATCCTTCTGCCAAGGAGCAGCTGGTGGATTCAAACTGCATGCTTACAGGGTTACAGTGCAGTTTCTTACCACTAGGCTATCAGAGTGAATTTCTTAGTGTATGTAGACAGGTAATCTTTGACCAAGAGCTAAAATCCATTAAGGGGGGAAAAGCTAAAATCTATTAAGTAGGGAAAAGATAGCTTCTTTTAAAATGGTCTTGGGAGTTTAACAGGGCAGCAAGTAATAGATATTGGAGAGGATGAGGTGAGAAAGGAAATCTTACACATTTTTGGTGTGATTGTAAAATGGTGCAACCATTCTGGAAGGCAGTTTGGCACTTCCTCAAAAAAACTGAACAGAGAAATTCCATATGACTCAGCTATTCCACTACTTGGAATATACCCTGAGAAAATAAGAACTGAGGCATAAACTGAGGTTCGTACACCAATGTTCATAGCAGCATTATTCACCATTGCAAGAACCACAAACAAATGTATTGAGAAATTATGGTGCATTCACACAATGGAATACTATGCAGCACACAGGAGCAATAACTTTAAATTATTACCTAGCTTGGGAGGGACTGGAGAGCATTATGCTGAGTGAACTAACTCAGTCCCACAAGGATGAATATTGTATAAGACAGTTACTGTAGAATGAGTATAAGGATCCAGGAGGGATGGGAAAGCCTGAGAGCAGAGGGATGTGGATGTACAGGTGGAGGAAGGGATTAATCACTGGGTTGTACAATGTTAAGGGAGGGGGGAGGGAAACTGAAAGAATTTGCTCAAATTTGCATTAAAATTTTGTAAATAAACTAGTAGAAAAAAATAAAATAAAATTTTTAAATATGGTCCTAGGAAAACTGGCTATCTCTTTGCAGAAAATGGATGAAATATCTATAACTCACATCATATAAAAAAACTGACTCCAGGAGGTTCAAGGGCCTAACCATAAAAGGAAAAATTAGGGCACACTAAGAAATTCCAATTAAAGGCATAAACTTAATATGACATATAACTACAAGTGCATAATCAGCAGATCATAAACTAGACGATTGGAACCTCCTAAAAATAATGGGCTTAAACATGATGAACATCTTGAAGACGGTGTAGAACAGTTAGGATCTGTTGTTCATAGAGCCACTGTAAATTGTAGTCTACTCAAGGGTAAGACAACAAAAATAAATCCCTATATGTATTAAATGATTTCTTAAAAAAAGTAAAAAGAGAACCTATAGACTGGGAAAAATATTTGACAATTATATATCTGATAAGAGATTGATGTCTAGAATTTGTAAACACATTCATACTTCTAACTACAGATGTGAATGATGTGAACACTTTTGTTTTGTCATTTTTCTCCCTTGAAACTGCAGATTGTTCTCTGGCAGCCAGTAATGGCAGAATTTATTGAGAAGAAGAAAGAAGTTCATTTTTTTGTGAACGACTCAGATGTAAGCACTGTGAAAGCCCATTTAAATGTAAGCAGAATTCTATTCAGGTAGGCATCATTCTATGTTTACTGAGTAACTATTATCAACACTTACTAGCCTCTTTAGGATTTTCTGGGTGACATAGGAGGTTAAGCACTTCCCACTGAATGGCTCAGCAGTATGCAGTACCTCAGAAAAAAGGCCTGGCAACCAATTTTTTAAAGCCTCTAAAAACCCAATGGAGCACAGTTCTCTGGCACATAGGATGTTACAATGAGATACAGTCAACTTAACAGCAGTACTTTTCATTTTGTTTTTTGTTGTTATGCTATAGAATCCTATCCTTTTATTTCATTTTGCTAAATGATAGTATAATTGCCTCCTGGAGAAAGAAAATGTTTGCATTAAACAAGTCAACCTGATAATCTCTGAAAAGGACCTGGTAATAGAGCCAAGTGGTCTGCTATGTGACCTCAAGTACATTCTTTAAATTCTCTAGACTCACTCACTCCCTTACCTGCAAATGAAGGCTAGTTCTGTAGAACCATTCTGTGCCACTTTATACAGCTAGTCGCCATTCAGACTCAAGGTACAAATTGTCACTCACCATAGTGGCATTTCTTGAAAAAGCACTTGCTGAAGCCGGTTTTATTTTTCTAATTCGTCCCCCCTTTTGGAAGGTTACTGAGCATTCCCAAATGTTTCTTTTGTCCTAAGCTAAGACATATATCAGGTGTGGTTTCTGTTTCTCACTCATACCTTCCTCCTTTCGCTGTCTGTAGGCAGCATCTCCTCTGAAACTCAGTTTCCCAGTGACCTCAAGTTGTCTCACCATCATCCTCAAGACCATGCTATCTGTGCTCAATGAACAACCTTTGGCCAATATGTTATGATCATGAAAATATTATTATGTCAATATGTTATCAGTTTATGGCATCCCGTGCACTGGATCAGTTATTTCTAAACACTGTATCATTTAATTCTTATTTCTTCCTGTAAGGTAAACCCCATCTCCATTATACAAATGAAAAATAGGTGCTTACACGGTTGCTGCTGCCTCTACTTTCAGTGGGTTCCAGAGGCCAACTATCTACTATGTGATGTCTGGGCCAACATGGCAGCTCATGCAGCAATTAAGAACCATGAGTGTCCACTCGAAGTGGAGGAACAGGATGTCAGCACTCTGCCCTTGTCTTGTGCTTGGAAAAGTGGACTGAAATGGCATCCAACAAGTTGCGCTTCAGCTAGTATTAATGTGTAGATACCAGTTTGGTAGCTGTTAACTCCAAGATTAGTTTGAATTAAGGGATTTAGGGGAACCATTTAACTTAATTGTTGCTAGTTTTGAAATGTCTTTATACAAGTAGGGTGGGATGGAACAAATGCAACAGTATGGAAAGCTAGACGATGGGATCACACTTATCTGTGTTTCTGTGGAAACTATTTGAAAATTTGTTTAATATACATTTTAAGCCACTTTTCACACATGCTGCTAAAGAATACACCCAGCTGCTGAGCAAGCATTTGGAGCTTGTCCAGGGGCAGAAAGGGCCAAAGGTTAGTGTTGTGATCTGTTTTAAAAAGAAAGTATCTTCACATAAAACCAATTGGGCAGATTAATTCTATAAGGTCAACCAGCTAATAAATGGCAGAATTCAGAGTCAAACTTGAATCTTTCTGCTGTTAAAGCCTCAGCTGATATCCATCGACTCAAATAAAAATAAAGAAGTTATTTATTAATTTGTTAAACAAAAGAGACCTTTACTGTCATTGAGTCTATTTTCTCCATCTTCGTCTGACATACTTTGGACATGTTGTAAGGAGAGACAGGTCCTTGGAGAAGGACATCATGCTTGGGAGGGTGGAGGGACAGCGCAGGAGGGGA